ACTGCTCTCTTGTGTCCTTCAAATTCCTCCTCCAGCAGCCACTTCTTTTGTGAAACCTTCGGTTCCAACCTCTGCAGGCACAAAACTCCTGGCCTCCTTACTGAGACAAAGCCAAAATAACTGCCTGCCACCTGTGCATACTATCCCCATATCCTGCCTTCTCTCCACCCTCACCTTGGCTGAAATTTAATTTGAAAGCTCCTTGGGGCCAGGCCTGTCTTTTTTGGCATGAAATCCCGCAAACAGTTACAGAGCTGTACAGATCACTCCTGAAGGGGGCGAGAGGGCACAGAATGGGACCCCCAAGGGGATTTTAATGGCGGTTAGAGGTGGGACGTAGGTTTCCAATCATTTCCAAACCGGCTTGCAAAGAGCGAGCAGCTGTTTGCTCCTTGCCCAGCCGATGAAGCTGTTTTGAATAAAATGCCACCAGATGTTTGGTTTCACTGTGGAAACACGACTATACGTGCGCGTGCACATGTGCACACGTTTCACTGGTACAAGTTACAAGGACACCAAAGCTTTAAGTTAGAGGGTGGAGATGAATCCTGAAAAAGACTTAAAATTTATTCTGTGGTTTAAAGTTCAGCCTTGAACTGTCATCTCTGCCTGAGAAGCCCTCGGAGGAGGAATAATTTTGGGATTTAGTACTGCCGAGCCTAAAAGAAGAAATTCAAAGATCGAAATTCAAAGGGGGGGGGGACACGGAGTGACACCAATAATTCAAACAGTTTCTATGCAAGCGGTGGAGCCTCCATGGCGGACGGAATGGAAATTCCTCCAGGTGGCCACATGTAGGATCAAAACACTTCATCACAGAGAGAGAGAGAGAGAGAGAGAGAGAGAGAGAGAGAGACAGAAAAATCGGCTAATCTCTGAGGAACAATACTGCAGGAATGGACTGAAGTGAACTTTGATTAACCTGGGCTTTTGTGCCAATTTAAATACACAGAACCTCTCCACTTGAAAGAAGCCATTCACCCACTATGCGCTCCAAGATGCATGGAAAAACCATTATGGGAATAATCAACGCAGTGATTACTAGGGTGGGGGGGGAATCTATACAATGGCAAAACCAGACAGAGCTCATAAATGGGGCGGTGTGCAGTTTCTGGCAGGCCTGTTATTTCTTTTAAAGGGGCAATTAAAACTGAGCCTTGCAGGGCTGCCCAGACCCAGAAGGGCCTGTTGTTATTTGAAGCGTGTGAACAACCAGCTTTTCAAGGAACTATGTAACGGAGGGGAGACTGGGGGTGGGGGTGGGGGACAGAAATGCATAAATCCAAGTATTCCCAGACATCTGTGAAGACTTTGGGCTGTCTCAGCAACTCAGAACTGATGCCGTGTATCCAAAGATGGGAAAATGTCTGGCTCTTCTGAAATCAGGTGGAAGGTTTTAGCCGGAAGAGCAGACAGGCTAATTAATCATCGGCTCTTTGCAGACCGGACCCAAGGAGGGTGAGGATCACAGGGTGATGTGCTGACCAGGCTTTTCTCACAGTGAGAGGGGACTAGTCCTCCACTGGACTGAGCTGAGTCTTTAAAAGGGGTTCCCCGAAACATGCCAGATATGTAGCAACCGGTGTTCCCTCTAAGCTGAGTTAAGTGCGAGCTAGCTCACAGTTTTTTTAGCCTCCGGCTCACACGTTTTTGTCTCCGCTCGGGAAGGGATGGCTCCAGGGCAAACTAATTTATGCAGGAGCCATATCAGCAGCTCACAACTTCAATGCCAGTGAGCTCACAAAGTAGAATTTTTGCTCACAGGACTCCATCGCTTAGAGGGAGCCTTGGGAGCAACGTATGGATGGACGGCGACACGCACTCTCCTGATGGATTCCAAACCCAGCTTTGGTGAGTGGGGAAAATGAGACTGTAGGTAAATGCGATATTGGGGACCATCAGAAAAGCACACGGAAGACACAGGACAAGTCATAATGCCAACTGTACAAGTTGTGTATGATCCGAGTCCGGGAGCATCTTAAAGACCAACAAGGACCGCCTCTCCTCACATGTTCCCCCAAGGGCACCACGGTCGGGGACGCAAAATCTCCTGGACATTCCATGCCCCAGAAACATCACATTTGCGGTTACCAGGGCTAGGGCGTTCTCGGTGGCGGCTCCTACCTGGTGGAATGAGCTCCCAGAAGAGATCCGGGCCCTGCGGGACTTGGTGCAGTTCCGCAGGGCCTGTAAAACGGAGCTCTTCCACCAGGCCTTTGAGTAGGAGCCGCTGCCGCCATCGTTACGGCATCATCATCACGTTGCCATCGTCCCCCTTATTGGTCCCGCAAACTGACCACCCCCAGAGCGGGGACTATTGGGGGTGCGAGACGTGCCTGGCAGAGAACAACGCTGTACGGACGTATACTGTCGCTGCTATATTGATTGTTGTTATTGTTGCTTGTTGTTAGTATTTTTAGAACCCCATCTTGAATTTTATAGTTAACTAATTTCGGAGCACCGTAAAGTAAATTTTAGTGTACCGTAGTTATTGTATTTTATATTATTCTGTACTGTTTTAATGTTTTAACTTGGGCGTTCGTGCCCCTTGTGAGCCGCCCTGAGCCTTCGGGGAGGGCGGGATATAAATTTAAAGATAGATAGATAAAAAAATAAAAGAATCCCAGGGTGTAAGCTTTCGAGAGTCGAAGCTCCCTCCCTCAGATAAAAGCAGGAGTGGAGATCAGTGTTCCCTCTAAGCTGAGTTAGTGTGAGCCGGCTCACCGTTCTTTAGCCTCCAGCTGACACATTTTTGTCTTAGCTCAGGAAGGAGGGCTCCGGAGTAAACTGATTTATGCAGTAGCCAAATCGCTTGCTCACAACTTTAATGGGAGTAGCTCACAAAGTAGGATTTTTGCTCACAGGACTCCACAAGCTCAGAGGGAGCATTGGTGGACATCCCTGAGCCCTTATATCCCGGTCAGAAAGTGGGAGGGGTGTTGTAAAGAAGGGAGTCAGGATGAAAAGATACAACGGCAAGATGTAGTCAGCTTAATCAGAGCAGGGGACGAATGATTAGGGGCAGAAAATTAGCATCTGTAATGAGATAAGAATCCTATGTCCCTCTTCAGCCCGAGGGGGGGGGGGTCCGCTGTTCTGAATTTGTGAATGAACCCAAGCTCAGCAATCTCGCTTCCTAATCTCCAAAGCTCTCTGTTGGAGGACTGCCGCTCTAAGGTCACCGGTGGAATGTCCTGGAAAATTAAAATGTTCTCCCACTGGTTTTTGAGCGCTGTGACTTTTAACGTCAGGATGATTACCATTTTGCATTAGATCAACATGAAAACAATCGCTGTTTATGACTCATGTTGTAAAAACAGACATCAAGAAGAAAAAGAACATGAAAACAATACATTTAAAAAGAGGCACAATGGCATCCATCAAACCTTTAGAATGAAACCATAAATAGACAGGATGGAACAAAAAAGGAGGGTGTCTGCTGGGTTTACTCTATATTTCCCCACTTTCTCTGTCTCTCCCTTTGTACTTAGGTACTTCAGGGTTTTTTTGGCATATTGGAAGGGTAATCTCTCTATGATTGGCTGATAAACAGCAGTCTACCACAACAGTACAAGGCCATTCTGCAATGGGGCTGTAACAGAAACAATTCTGATGAGAATAATCAAAACAATGTCTTAAGTAGCCGGTAGACTGTCAATTGCTATAGTTTACTAAATACCATAATTCGCTGTATTATGTACTGAATTTTTATACCGGAATGGCAATACAATTTCACTGTATTATGCACTGTATATAGGGACTGTTTTCACTAATCATACTGCATTGCATTGCATATATTAATATTTGGTTTGCATGCAGTTAAGTATATCAGCCTTTCCCCCCCTTTGTGTGGCCTCTGGTACTCAGTCCCTTTTGTGGTTTCCTAAAGGGGTCTCCTCCCCTTCACTCTTTAGCCTTCCACTTGCCAAGAGCTAATTTGGCCGCACCAGCTGACGTCTGCTTAAAAGCAGTCATACACAAAAGGGCACTGCAGCGGCATCGAGAGCCAGTTAAAAACAACAGCAGTAACATCCACAGCACCCGAATCCCATGTAACCATTACTCCCAGCTTACACTACACAGAGCTACATAGTTCTGTTTAGATTCTGTATTGATACAGTCATCTATAAGCTATTAACAACAAAAACAGGGTCTCAGGATAATACATCGACAAAGCTGCAGAAAGAGGCTAAGAAGTTTCTTAAGGCCGCACAATGTAGCACCACACTCCCCCAACAGAGACTTCCACAAGTTCAAAGACCTCTGCCCAGAATATAATTTACAAAAATAAATAAAGAAAAAAACGATCAGGAAAATTCCAGTTGACGTTTCACCTGTAATATAGGCCGCACTTGGGTTCTTCATTCGGGCTGTAAACCAACAAGTTATAAAGCCACACAACTCAGGTACAGCGCAGAACACAAACTGTGGTTTGAGCTTCCAAACTCACCAGAAATAAGCCACAGTCCAGAGTCACTTGTCTGGCTTTGGTCTCCCCATCTACTCAGCTTCATATAGTCCATTCCCAGACCTGGTGTTCGGCAGAACAGTGGGAGTGACCGTGGTTTGTTTGTACAGACGTCACTCCCAAAGTTGGCACATGACACGGTTTGCAACAACCTATTTCAAAACCATCGAACCCAGTTCACCGGCCAGTCCTGAAGCCTCAATTATGTGTGTTCGCACAGTACCCCAAACCATAGTGAAAACCTGTTGATTGCTGCATGGTGTGAACTTAAGCCAAAGACTATGGAGCACAAACATTAAACTGTGTGGATAGTCAAGATTGCGAGGAACATCTAAAATAAAGTTGGGGCCAGAATTTTCCAGTTTTAGTTACTTGCCCCAGCAGGGATACATTTTCCCTTCTTAGATATCCCTTGGTCTTCTGAAGCATCAGAGGTGACCAAAATTGCCAAAGAATGAATAAGCAGAGTAAACTGTGCTGAAGTCTTGGCTCCCTGCAACGTGGATACAAGTAACGAAACAGTCACTGTTACCTTTGCAGCAGAGTTTGACACTCCGTGCGTGACGTTCCTGATAAGGCCACCAACGTTTCCGTATTTTATCAGCCCGGTGACACCTTCCGAAACGTCGTTCAGGAGACCCATTGGGTTGCCGAGGAAATCCACAGAGCCTAGGATTCTCGCTGCTTGGCTGAGCAGTTCCTATGAAAGGACACCAAGACGTCATTCACAATCAGTTCGCTGAGCTCGGCACATTTGGTACAACTGCCCTTTCACGACCATGTTTTTGGCTGCTTCACGCATGAAGAGGGTGGATTGCAGAATTCGAAAAGGACCGAAAAGATCATTGAGTCTCATCTTCTGCTGCAAGTTAGGATTCCCTACTCAATAGCTCACCCACCGGCCAACATACGGAAAGTTGAGTGTTCCGGAGTAAAAGCAACTGAGGCATAGATGAGAATCCCCCCCGCCCCAAATCACTTGATGTGTGTTTTTGTTTGCAATACTGCTGGTTTAGATGTATTTTAAAAAGGAGCTGGATGCATTGATGGAAGACGGGTCTGCTGGCTATTAGCTGAGGCAGCTGAACGGGACCCTCCAGGTTCAAAGGCAGAATGCCTCTGAAAGGGAGATACCGTCAGCAGGTGAGGATTATTGTTTGCAGACCCTGCCAGCGGACTTCCCTTGTCGTATCTGATGGGCCGCTGCTAGAAAAAGGACACCTGACCAGATGGATAATGGGTCTGTTCCAGCATAGCGACCTTTCTGCTTCCCCCCACCTCATGGCAGCCCCCAACGTGCACCCAGTTCTTTCCCAGTGTCTAAGGGAGCAAGGTGGAACCTTTCTTGGAGGCTTGGAGTCACTGGGGACTTTAGAGCATTCTCCCGGTCCCTTGGGGGCCTCTAACCCAATGCCACTCACTTCTTGGAAGTGCTTCAAAATGTCATTAACGATGAACTCTTTCGTCTCATAAGGGTGGACCCTGGTGAAGGGATCCAAGTTGATCACGGCGTCTTCAAATCGAATCAGAGGGAAGCCCAGGGTGCTCTTCAGTGCCTGTGCAAACAAAGAATCGGGGTTACTGTTTTACGCTTGTCGTTCCAGGCCAAAGCACCCCAGAGTTATGCACAGCTTAGAGCCGAGATAGATACACCAGAGGTCATTTCGGGGGGGATCGCGGGGGATCGCAGTCCCCCCGGGTGAGGTACGGGGGGCGGGGCACATGACGAAGCCCCGCCCCCTGCTTCCGGCCGCCCTGCTTCCGGCCCTCATTCAGCCAGGAGTAGGCAGGAGAAGAGGGAGGGTAAGTTGCTTCCTCCCTGCCTCTCCCCACCCCTGCCTGCCTGGGGCCAGGGAGGGCCTTCGCGGGGCTTCCTTGCACTCCCGCCGGCCTTGCAGGTCCACCGCCGGGCCCCTCATGGGGCTCAGCAGTGGAGCTGCAAGGCCCGCGGCGGCGGCCAGGACCGTTGGGGGCAGGGTGTGTGGCCTTATGACACACTTCCGGTGATGTCAGGGTGTGTGGCATATGCTAATGAGTTATGCTAATGAGTTCACCTAGCTCTTTTTCTACGAAACAACCCCTGAGATACACTGACTTAAAACAGGTTTGCAAATGATACAATGGCTGCTAGTCGTGATGGATATCTGCTGGGGAGCATGGGCGGGAGGGCAATGCTCCCTCTAAGCTGTGGAGCCTTGTGAGCAAAAATTCTACTTTGTCAGCTGCCGGCATTAAAGTTGTGAGCCAGCAATTTGGCTACTGCATAAATTGGTTTGCTCTGGAGCCCTCCTTCCTGAGCTAAGACAAAAATGTGCGAGCCGGAGGCTAAAAAAACTGTGAGCTAGCTCACACTAACTCAGCTTAGAGGGAACACTGGCGGAAGGATGCTGGACTCGATGGGCCTTTCGTCTGATCTGGCAGGGCCCCTTTTATGTCGTTATTATGATACGCCACAAAAACTCTGTGACATCTTGAAAGTGTCTCAGGGGAGGCTTCTCTATGAAAAGGTCAGTAAATGCCCCCCCCCTCCCAAGGGAAGCAAAAAAAAAAAAAAAGGCAGGGAGTGGACCTCAAAACTTTTTGTTACATTATCACATGCGGTGCATATCGTCAAAGTCAAGGATCAATACCTTGAGGTCCAGGGGTAGCTTGCTGGAAGTGAAGACACTCAGCTTTATCTGCGGCACACTAATCTTGAGGTTTTCAAAATAATATCGCTTCTGGGCTTCTTGATCCACAGGCTTTTCGTGAAGGTTCTCGTTGTAACTTTCAACCTCTGCGGTCGACAGCAAACAGAGTCATTAATATGTGTCGGCAGGTATCTATTTCACTACTGCAAATGTTGAAAAAGGAAGTGACGGCCTACAAATGCCTAGTGAAGGAAAAGGGACTGTGGATGGGACGTATGCGTGTTAAGACTCTGCATGTTTGCTGGATGTCAAAACCCTGCTGCCGCTTCGCTGTTTTCTCCGGATGAATTACCATTTCTTGTCATTATATCCACACTCTGCATCATGCTTAATATGCTATGCCCATTCAGTTCTTTGTAATCCTGGTCCCGGTACATTCCTTATTAGATGTTTCCTCATATCAAGGAGGTGGTGGACATCTAGGAGGATGCAGCTGACTGAAAACAACTCAGTAGGGTTTTTCCCCCCTCTTTTTTTTGTTATGTATTTTGTTTGTGTGTGTGTGTATGTCTGGAAGTCATGATTGACTTCTGGCGACCCCTAGTGGAGCTTGGACGTTTCAGAGAGGTGCCTTGCTATTGCCTTCCCTCTGCGTCCCAGCCCTGGTATTCCTTGGAGGTCTCCCATTCAAGTACTTGTCAGGGTTGGCCCCGCTTAGCTTCCACGCTCTGACGAGATTGGGCTTGCCTGGGCTATCCAGGTCAGGGCAACCCAGTAGGGTTTTCAAGGCAAGAGACCAACAGAAGTGGTTTGCCATTGCCTGCCTCTGTGTAGCGACCCTGGAGTGTTTGGCGGTCTCCCATCCAAGTACCAACCGGGGTTGACCCTGCTTAGCTTCTGGGGTCCGATGAGATCGGGCTAGCCTGGGCCATGCAGGTATGGGCTGTATCGACCTACACTGTGCTTATTAGATGTCTCGTCATATAGCCTGTTATTGATTGATACTGTGTAGTCCACCTTGAGTCTCAGGGAGAAAGGTGGACTGAAATTTGCAGTAAATAAAGTTTCTCTACAAGACAAAAGTTTGGGCCTCCAATTTCTCCCACGCTTGAAAGACAGAATCCAATCCTTGCTCTGTGGAAGCCTTGCCTTATCCAGAAGTTCTTTCTAGTCTAACATATCTCTGTTTAAAACTAAAGAATGCCCCGCATGTTTTAACAAACACATAACACATTGCTTTTATAAGCAGCTGTCACTGAGCACAATTCCCCACATCTTTGGGAAATACTGAATGATGGACACAAGGAAAATCTGACTGCTTCAGAGATGAGAATGGGTTGAAACAGGATGAGAAGAGACCTGGCGTGGCTAAGAGGTGCTGTCGAACCATCAAAACTCTTCCTACTGAGACGATGGGCCCTGCTGGCAAAACACTTTCAAACACTTTTTCACATGAACGCATGAAACTGTCTTATACTGAAGCAGACCCCTGGGGCCACCAAAGTCAGTATTGTCTACTCGGACTGGCAGCAGGTCTCCAGGGTCTCAGGCAGAGGTCTTTCACATCATCTACTGCCAGATCTTTTGACTGGAGATATCGGGGATTGAACCTGGGCCTTTCTGCATGCCAAGTGGATGCTCTACCACTGAGTCACAGCCCCTCCCTTTGCGTGCAGGCAGCGCTGGTCTAACTGTAGTACCTGATTCGGCCTGATCGTAGCCAAAGAAACTCAGAAGCTTCAGAAGCAGTTTCTCCTCGATTTGGACTGTGAACCTGCGAGCTGTGATCATCAGGTGCTGGAGAGAAACACATGACAATATATCATTTGGTTATGCCATCAAGGTATATTGTACCAGAAGATCACACAAGGAGTGTACAATCCGAATGCACCCACCAAAGATTCCCACGACACAAGGAGAAAGCCAGCACCTATCATTTTAAGATCTGCGGTCACGAACTTCAGAACTCCAGGGCTTCCACTAAAGGGATGCCGATCGAAAACAAAGGCAGTGGAAGGATCCAAGTCTTTTGCCAAACACATACCGCACAGGACAGGAGTGGCCAGTGTTTTAAAAGTGTCCTTGGTTGTCCTGAGATAACAGCAGGCTGGATCCTACCCACCCACAAGTGGAAGAAATGGGAGGAGCCAGATTTTCTCTCTCTCTAGTTTTAACAGCCCGGACCCACTGCTGAGCTCTGGGAGGACATTTGCCACCTAGAATGGTACCATGCACTGTAGTAGCCAGAATGAAGCATAGCCAATATCCTCGAAGAAGAAGAAGAGATTGGATTTATACCCCACCCTTCACTACCCAAGGGAGTCTCAGAGCAGCTTACAAACTCCTTTCCCTTCCCTTCCCCACAGCAGACACCCTGTGAGGTAGGTGGGGCTGAGAGAGCTCTTTCCAGAGCTGTCCTTGAGAGAATAGCTCTGACAGAAAAACAGGTTGCTTACCTGTAACTGGTGATCTTCGAGTGGTCATCTGTGCATTCACACCTATGGGATTCAGTGCGCATGCGCTGGATCAATCGGCATTGTAGCAAGCTCTTTAACGGATTTTCGCGCCCAGTCCCTTGGGCATGTGCAGGAACCCCCACTGCGCATGCCCAGAGGGGAGGGCACGGACATCCTGCCAGTTCCTTCAAACCGCCGCAAATCAACCCCTATGGAAAATGTAGAAGCTGACAGCAGCGGGGAAGGAGGGCGGGTGGTGTGAATGCACAGATGACCACTCGAAGATCACCAGTTACAGGTAAGCAACCTGTTTATCTTCGACGTGGTCTCTGTCCTTCACACCCATGGGAGATTAGCGAGCAGTAGCCTACCTGGAGGAGGGTGCTGGCAGGTCCTTACTGCGTAGCCAAAGATAAGATGTGACGTCCCATGTTGGTACTAGAGTTCTTTCGGACGTCTAGGGCATAGTGCCTTATGAAGGTGTTAGGCGTAGCCCTGCTTTGCAAATGTCCGTCAGGGGCACTCCCTGGAGGAAGGCAGTGGAAGCTGCAACAGCTCGGGTTGAATGGGCCCTGATAGGGCCAGGCAATGGCTGTTTGGCAATCAGGTAGCAGAGGCAGATGAGACCCGCAATCCACCTTGAGAGGCGCTGAGCCGTGATGCGAGTCCCCAGCCTTGATGGTGCGTACGAGACGAATAGTTGGGAGTCACGTCTCATTGGGCGGGTTCTGTTGAGGTAGAACAGGAGAGCCTGTGCATATCGGTGCCGACGTGGATCAATGTCGAGAGCTTCTGATACCGTTGACGTCGACGACGGGGAAGGAGACGGAGAAGGCTCTCCATCCATTTGATGACTTAGGAGCTCTACCGTTTCGATGTCGGAGTAAGGATGCTCAATTTGGTGGACAGGGGAATCCAAGACATGGATGGTCGGTATCGGTGGAGGGCCTCGGGCCTCCAGTATCAATACTGCCGATGGAGCGGGAGGCACTTTAGGGGCATCACCCAGTGCAGACACCGCTACCTTCCCCTTCTTTGCCACCTTAAGGGACTTAGAGGAGCCCTTCTTTGCGGACTTGTGCTCCTTACTTGGTTTGGCCTTCTTTTTCTAAGTTTAAGTCGTTGCAGTAGTCGTGTGGTTAGCAGTTTGTTAATCTAGCTCTAGGTTATTGCTTCCAGCTGTGCCATGTAAAGCTTCTGTCTTCTGTTTCCCATTATATGTTGCAGCTTTACTAGCTTTGTTGTTAAGATCAATTCTTACGCTGTCTGCTTCATAATGTTATTTCATCCTATATTTTTTAAACCATCGTTTCCACTCTTCATTTGCAATTTATTGGATTATACATATCTATTACATATCACGCGCTTATTGCTTTGAGAGTCCTCCTAACAAAAATGATAAGAACGACAATCCAAAATAAAACACTGTAAAACGTTTTTTTTAAAGTCTATAAAAGTGAATAAGAAAGAAGGGGCGGGGGGGGGGGGGAGCCCGAAGGCCCGACTGAGGTAAAGCGGCAACCTCCCCCCTCAGTAGAAAATACAGGTTTTGAAAGAACAAACGAAGAAAAGGAATGAACTGAGGAAAAAATTCAAAGAGCCGTGAGGCAAAAAGCCAAAACACGCGAACCGATCAGACCGACGAAGAAAGAGGTCTTTCCAACACGGCGGTAAGAAAGGAACTGATGGGATGTCCGCGCCCTCCCCTCTGGGCATGCGCGGTGGGGGTTCCTGCGCATGCCTGAGGGACTGGGTGCGAAAATCCATTAAAGAGCCTGCTACAATGCCGATCGATCCAGCGCGTGTGCACTGAATCCCAGGGGTGTGAATGCACAGAGACCACGTCAAAGATCTTTGGCTTGCCCAAGGTCATCCAGCAGGTGCAAGTGGAGGAGTGGGGAATCAACCCTGGTTCTCCCAGATTAGAGTCCGCACACTTAACCACTACACCAAAACAGAGCTACTGTCTCACACAAGGGCATTACGTTTGACTTTATAGAACATCTGAAAATATCTGACTGCAGGTTTCATATCAATTCAAATGCAAGAAAGAAACACAAAGAAGCTCACTTCTGCCCAGTTTTGTATCGAGCTAAATGCTACGACATCCTATACGAGTGAAGCCCACCCACAGAGACCCCCAACTTTGAATGCAGAGAGGAGGTGGATGATCACCACTGGAGACAGGGACTTCTTGGCAGTGGCACCTTGAGTCTGGAACTCCCTTCCCGCAGCAGCTCGCCTATTCCCACCCTATCCAGTTCTGCACAATGGGCAGAAGACTTCTCTGTCCACTCAGGCTCTCAGCTGCTGTGATTTCTCCCCCCTCCCCCCCTTCTGCCTTGTACCGCTTCAATTTGATTGCCAATTTGTTCCTGTCTAGACTAGGTGCCGGTTCCATTGATTACTTTCTGCCTTTTGGGCGTCACATTTTATACATGACTTTTCTGCTGCCCTTCGTATACTTGCTTTGACTTTTTTATTCCATTTTACGATCCTAGTGATCTGGTGACTTCTTAAATCTGAAGCTACGTTAGAAGCCATCTGGCAAAAGTCTTTGTGGGGATGTTCATTTATTCGGTAAAACAAACAAACAAAACTGTCAGTGGCCAAAATGACATTCGGTTGGCTGGATTACCTTGTATATATCAGTTAAAGGGCTCTTACTGGGAAATTTCATGGCATTCAATTGCAGGGCAGGGCCCGTCTCGGCAATTTCATTTTCGTTGGTTTGGGGGGTCAGAAAGAGTATGAAAGGCTGAGTGGTCCCGATGAGCTGGTTGTCCACCTAAACAAGGAGGAAGAAGAATAATAATAAGAAGAGATTGGATTTATACCCCGACCTTCACTCAGAGTCTCAGAGCAGCTTACAAACTCCTTTCCCTTCACCTACCCACAACAGACACCCTGTGAGGTGGGTGGGGCTGAGAGGGCTCCTTGGGAGGGTAGGTGGGGCTGAGAGAGCTCCATGAGAACCGTCCTTGAGAGAACAGCTCTGAGAGAACTTGTAACTGACCCAAGGTCATCCAGCCAGCTGCAAGTGGAGGAGTGGGAGATCAAACCCGATTCTCCCAGATTAGAGTCCACGCACTTAACCACTACACCAAAGACAGGTGCAGACAGGCATTAATAAGCTTCCGAGCTGTAGAGTAAGAGCCCCCAGCCTTTTTGGAGACTGTGGGCACCTTTTAAATTCTGACACAGTGTGGTGGGCACAGACACAGAACGGCTGCCAGAAGATCGCTGCTGCAGGAGCTGGAGCTGGTCACAAAACGGCAGCCGCAGCTTCCCTCCAGTCACACAGTGAAGATCCTTGTGCTCTGGTGGCAGCTGCTGCCAAAACAGCATCTCTAAACATCTGCAAAGTCATTATCTCCAATGGCCAATCAGAAGCCTTGCTGGGTAAAAGCCCCACCTGCTTTCTAAAAACACTCGTTGGGCGCCACGAAAGGTGCCACGTTAGGGACCCCTACTGCAGAGCCAACTGGCGAAAACAGAGCCCCAATCCACATGGCAGAGCTTTTGCAGAGGGGATGACAAACGGGAAGGAGGAGAGGAAGGAAATTGCATTGGGCATGTGCGTAGGTGCATGCACAGGCATAGACATCAAGGAGATCTGTGGCACCTTGGATCCTAACGAAGATACTGTGGCATAAATCTGGGAAATATCAAAATGTTGGTCCTGTGAGAAAACCCACAGGTTGACTGCACTTTGTGCGAAATTCTGTGCAGCAGCCTGCAAAACCTGACCGAACATTCAAGCAAGTAAGGAAAGTGTGATATAAACCAATATATAATAGATATAATTTTATAAATTTTAAGTCTTAAAAGTTAAAATCCTTCTTTCATAATATATCCCTATGCATTATTGGAATGCTATTTGCAATTTCTTATACAAAGTTTATTATAGTTTTATCTGAAACTTTTAATGATTTTGGGCGATGGACTATGGTATATTTTATTCTGTGTTTCATGGTGGTGTAATACTGTAATAAATGACTTTGGACTTACTGTGGCATAATCTACCTGTAGGCTCGTGACAGCAATGGGAGACTGCTTCCATTACAAACACCAAAAAGAACACAAGAGTACGCTCCTCATTTGAGAACGCTTTTCCTTGCCTCGAGGATGCAGTCTTCTTAAGATAAGTATTTGCCAACAAGCTAAATGGTGGACCGTAGGACCCAACAGGTAATTCCAGCCGCTCACCTGAGCAGACTCTTGAATCCATTCCAAAGCCACACAGTTCAAAATCCCCTTTGTTTACTCTGGGGCTGGCTTTATTTGAAAAGTGTTCTTGTTAGAGAATCCACCCCTTCCCTTACCTGCACATCCTGTATGCTCAGCTCAAGCACTTGACTGGAGGACAGCTGCGTGAAATGGACGTTAATGCCGGTGAAACTTGCAAATATCAGCTCTTCCGGGACTTTATTAACTAAAGATAAACCGATGCCTCCTTCCAGTTTCAGCTGAACCTGTGGACGGAACGAGAAATGAATCAAAATCACAGCATTTCTTTGTTGAAATCAGAACCCCAGCTGGGATTTTGGGGGTGGGGGTTCGTTTTGTTTGGGTTTTTCTTCTTTCCCTGTAAGATCTGGGGTTCTTAACTAAAATGGCCCACCAAGCTATTTTTTTAAAAAAAATGGTGGACCGTAGGACCCAACAGGTAATTCCAGCCGCTCACCTGAGTAGACTCTTGAATCCATTCCAAAGCCACACAGTTCAAAATCCCTTTTGTTTACTCTGGGGCTGACTTTATTTGAAAAGTGTTCTTGTTAAGAGAATCCACCCCTTCCCTTACCTGCACATCCTGTATGCTCAGCTCAAGCACTTGACTGGAGGACAGCTGCGTGAAATGGACGTTAATGCCGCTGAAACTTGCAAATATCAGCTCTTCCGGGACTTTATTAACTAAAGATAAACCGATGCCGCCTTCCAGTTTCAACTGAACCTGTGGACGGAACGGGAAATGAATCAAAATCACAGCATTTCTGTGTTGAACTCAGAACCCCAGCTGGGATTTTTGGGGGTGGGGGTGGGGGTTCGTTTTGTTTGGGTTTTTCTTCTTTCCCTGTAAGATCTGGGGTTCTTAACTAAAATGGCCCACCAAGCTATTTTTTTAAAAAAAAATGCAGGAGGATTTGTGGCGTGAAACACATTCATAGCACTGGGTGAGACGTGCTCATTGGCATGTGGATCTCTTGCGTGACGTGCGGTTGGGCCGGGTGGTCTTCACAGCCCACTTTTTGCTGTTTTAGTTTCGGCAGGCTGACATGGCCACCCCTTTGGTATTTTGCAACCCCGTGCTCTTGAAGACCCCCTCGTATAGCCCAGAGGAGCCTGATCTCATCAGAGCTTGGAAGCTAAGTGGGGCTGGTACTTGGATGGAAGGCCACCAAGGAAGACTGGGGCTGCTATGCAGAGGAAGGCAACCCATCTCTGATTGTCTCTTGACCTGAAAACTTTTGAGACCGCCTATCATGATCTGGGCTGTGCTACCAGAGGCCTACTAGGCCCAGAGAGCCTGGCTAGCAGTAGGTGAGGCTGGGCCTACAACTCCCAGAAGCCCCTGGGAGGTTTTGGAGCCAAAATGGACCAATAGGAAAAGAGGAGGGCTTGGAATAAAAGTTCTGGAGCAGCAGGAAGAGTTGTTCTTTCTTCCAGAGGGCAGAGCCAGAAGAAAGGCTGCTGCAGGGGAAAAACCCTCATCCTGAGGGAGGGGTGAGTAGTGTATGGCCTCTTGAGATAGTGAGCTAGGGAAAGTAAATTTAGACGTGTTAGGGCATTTGATTTCTTTTCTTTTCACCCACTTACTGTTATTATTCTGCACCTTGTTGTTTGACCTCCTATAAAATAAAACCTTTTTCTTGTTTCACTCTGCGTGGTCCTCACGCCTATTAATCGGCCAAAAGGGAGGTCTGAAGGTCTTGGGAGGGTACTCTGGGCCTTCTCAAGGGAACCTAAATCCAGAGTGGTGGCAGCGTCAGGTGACACCCCACCTGAGCCGTGACACCACCTCTCCTGATATCCCCCCCGAAGGGCACTGAGATCAGCAGTTAAGAATTTCCTGGTGGTTCCCGGCCCCAAAGATATCCGTCTGGCCTCGACCAGGGCCAGGGCCTTCTCAGCCTTGGCCCCGGCCTGGTGGAACTCTGCCGAATTGCATCTGTGCCCTGTTCGATCTATTCAAGTTTTGCAGGACATGTAAGGCAGATATGTTTCCAGGCCTCTGGTTGAGGCCAGCGACGGTTTCCTACTTCTGCCCGGCACCCTCACTCCCTCTCTCCCCCCAAAAATCTGAATGCTAGACATGCCGTCTGTTCTTGGAATGTTTTAAATACATTTGTTGATTGCCTAATATTGTTTTAATATTGTTTGCAGTGTTCCCTCTAAGCTGAGTTAGTGTGAGCTAGTTCACAGTTTTTTCGCCTCCGGCTCACACATTTTTGTCTCCGCTCAGGAAGGATGGCTCCAGAGCAAACTAATTTATGCAGGAGCCAAATGGCTCGCTCACAACTATAATGCCAGTAGCTCACAAAGTAGAATTTTTGCTCACAAGACTCCACAGCTTAGAGGGAGCATTGATTGTTTGTGGTTTTCAACTGGCTTTATAATTTGTATTGAACTATCCTGTTGTAAACCGCCCTGAGCCCCACATAAGTGGGGAAGGGTGGTCAAGAAATTCAGTGAAATAAATAAATAATAAATATGGGGTGGAACTTCACGAGGTTGCCATGAGTCCACTGTGACTCGACAGCACGCTTTACCTTTTGTGGCCAAATGTACTGGAGATCGCACCTCCAGACTGAGAGTGTCGAAGATGTCGAAACAGCTGGACAGGGTGGAGTGGGGACTAGATCAGGAACCTGGCAGTACACACGTGGACCCACGACATGGCACTGTTTCCCCAGTCAAAATCACCTCCCCAAAGCAGCTATTAGCAGTTCAGTTCTAGTAACTTTCTTTTCCCCTAACCGCAGCTTTGATGGAACCGGTTCTGAATGGAGTAATGGTAACTGAGCAGACTGCTAAGCTCTCCTTCCTTCACACCCCTTGCTGAGCAAAACTGCTGCACTGTGACATGCTGTGATTGCTGACTCCTGAGTTTAGCCTAGGATCTGAGCTTTGCGCTCGATGGAGAGAAAGTGGTATGCGACTGCTTTTCAAAGGGATGAGGAAACAGAGAGAAACAATGGCTTCACTCACTTCCAGTTCTTGCTCTGCGTCTGGATTTTTCAGCTTCCACAGATCTTGCTCCAGCGTGAGCAGCTCGTCTCCTTCGTATGAGAAACGATCATTTCTGCGTTGGTTGAAGTCTGTTATCTAATACAGAAGGCATTATTAGGATAGCTGTCTTCCTGAGATCCACCGGGACACACAATCCTCCCTATATTATAAAGCAGTAAGACGCAAACTGCACGCAATGCGCCCCTACAGTGTTTGGACGGCTCGCCTGCCCGTCAACAGCTTGGCCACGTCCCATTGGCCACGTCGTTTGAGTCCCGCCATGCACGCAGCTTCCCGTGGCCTGCGGAGGATTCGGAGGACACCCGCAGCCGCCTGGCTCGGTGAGGAGAGGGGGAGAGAGCCGAGCAGAGGAGAGGCGCGAGTCGAACCGCGGCCGCCTGGGTCGAGCCCGAGAGGGGAAGGGGGCGAGAGCCGGGCGGAGGAGAGGCGCGAGTCGATCGACAGCCTCCCCAGCATAGCATTGGCCTTCTTTATTGCCGTCACACACTGTCTCGACATTTTCAGTGAGTTATCTACTACAACTCCAAGATCTCTCTCTTGATCAGTCTCTGCCAGTTCCATCCTGAGTTTAGCCTAGGATCTGAGCTTTGCGCTCAATGGAGAGAAAGTGGTATGCGACTGCTTTCCGAAGGGATGAGGAAACGGAGAGAAACAATGGCTTCACTCACTTCCAGTTCTTGCTCTGCGTCTGGATTTTTCAGCTTCCACAGATCCTGCTCCAGCGTGAGCAGCTCGTCTCCTTCGTATGAGAAACGATCATTTCTGCGTTGGTTGAAGTCTGTTATCTAATACAGAAGGCATTATTAGGATAGCTGTCTTTCTGAGATCCACCGGGACACACAATATTCAATATATCTTGAATGTGACACAACGCGTGAACCTGTAAAGATCTTATGACCCGGCCTGATCTCTAAGAGAGTGTTCAGGTGCCCTTTTTGGCCACAGGCGGGCTGTTTTATTGATGTTGATTGTATGCTTTTCCTGTATTTTTGTTGGCAGCCCCCATTTCTTTCTGAAGATGCAGCAAGAACATCCTTATATGACAATCTCTCATGACAGAATGTCAATTAGATAGCATTTCACAGATATCCAGTTTCTAGTGTGACAATTGCGACATACAGACTGTATTCAGACAAACCGTAATTTGCGCAACAGGTTCTGGTTAGTCTATGGACACAACAAATGGTGGTTCACGCATGAGCTTCAATTTGCCTGCTTCTTCTTCCTCCCTCTCCCACCTGGGAAGGTACCTTTACCATGCTGTCCCCACCTGTAACCAGGTAACGCAAAGCAGTGACACTACTAAAACTGAGTTTGTAAATTCAGAAATCACACTACAATTAATCCAAACTGCAGTTAAAAAACAACAATAGGTAGAAGCTCTGGATTCAAATTCTGGTTTGGTGCCAGCTAACAGCCTCCGATTTTCTAAAAACTTTGTTTTCAGATGTCACAAGGAATTGGAGTTTGAACAAAGTACAGTGCAACTTCGATTGACAACTAAACGCAGCCTTCTTTGTTTCATTTGCAATTCAAGTGCTTGTGAGTTACACAGAGATTGCCCATCACCTGTAAAACCCGGGTCGGCCCATCGGGAATGACTCTGGCTACAAGGATGCCAGACCCTGGCCGCATCTTCTGATTGATGAACTGCTGCTCTGGAGGAACCGGGCTTAACATTTCCAGAGAAGTGTCCGGACCTAGGACGACTTCCGCCCCGTCGCGAAGCCCAGATATGCCCCCTTTAGTCTAGGAGGAAAAGGAAATCATTAACAAAGGGAGAAAGAAAAGGAAGGAATGCTTAGTCGCTTATAGGGGAGGGGCTGTGGCTCGACGGCAGAGCATCTGCTTTGCATGCAGAAGGGTCCTGGGGTTCAACCTCCAGCATCTCCTGTGAAAAGGATCAGGCAGTAAGTGATGTGAGAGACCCTCCACTTGAGCCACTGCCAGCTAGAGCAGACAACACTGACCTCGATAGATCAACAGACTGAATCACATGTCCTTAACGCACACGCTGAAATAATTTTAGATCAAGAGCTTGCACGTCTTCAGGCCTGTGTATTGGATCATTGCCTGTTTCTACAGGAATCTGTCCAGAATTGCATCAGAAGCCCTGCTGTGTGGGACACCTCCCCCCCCCACCTTCTGAACTAAGGTGGATGGCAAACAGAGAGAATGCCCTCTCCACAGTCTCCCCCAACCCCACATGCACAATGGTTTGTCCGATCCCAGACTGTTAACCTTCAGGTGCCAGGGGGCGTCTGGTTGTTAAGTCAGGAGTTCCGTTTCATGCTGTGGCCGCCGGTTCTCTCTACCAACATGTTAACATCCCGTCTGCATAGCACATGCCCACGGCCGTGTTTTATCTGCCGCCTGGATTGCTTCAAAATGCTTTCCTGCCATTTTTCATCGGCTCCTCTGGATCTGTTCTCCATTTGCCGCTTTCGCTTGGGCTTTAATTTATTCGCTGTTTTCGATAGCGTTATGGATCCCTAATCGTCCTGGCTTTGTATTTTAATTTGGTACACCATCTTGAGTGCCCTTAAGGGAAGGGGCACCCTATAAATATCTCAAACGGATGACAAGCGAGCTGCTCGGAGAACATCTCTTTGCCTTTCCTGGTTCCCTGGGGAAACTGACTTACAGCCTGATGCCTGCTTACTCATCTGTAACACTCTCTGGTAGCATTCATTGTGTGGGGCCAAAGGACGCACAAAAGGGAACACAAACTATAGTAAAAGCGATAACATTACAGAGTTAAAGCACGTAAAAACACATGAAAAACACGTAAGCACCCCTGTGTATAAATTGGAGTTCTTAATCTGTATATCTGAATAATGTTTGTTTTTTAACTGGATCGGGTCATGGACCCTAATATAATAAATTACTAATCCCCCCTCCCCCCCCCAAAAAAAAGTAGCAGAAGACTTTCAGGTAACGTCCGACTTGCCTTGAGATGTCCAACTTGCCTCAACTAGGGCCAGGGACTTCTCCGCCCTGGCCCCTATCTGGTGGAATGAGTTCTCATATGAGATCAGGGGGCCCCCGTGGGACATACTACAATTCTGCAGGGCCTGCAAGACGGAGCTCTTCCGCCAGGTTTTCAGTCGAGGCAGTGGATATCCCCCCCCCCCTTTCTGGTTGGCCTCCCATCAGTGTCCTGGATTCGAAAAGCTACCTGGGAATCCCACACTCCTGTTCCATCTTAACTGCTGAGACATCTGATTAGATCTTGCACGGTATTTTATGACTGTTGTATTGTTTTAATTCGTTGTTTTAAATTGGTTTTAATTGTTACTGTAATTTGTATTGACATTGACGGAACCTGCCCTGAGCCTGCTTGTGGGGAGGGTGGGACACAAGTCCAATAAAATAAATAAAAATAAATAAATAATTGCAGCCCTTGCTCATCGATTCTCAC